AATCAACAAACAAACGAAGTGTCAGACACAGCAGCGTGCAAGACTACGCGTTCACCGGCAATCAGGAACTACCACTGGTGCAAACTTGCTACAGCATGAGCTCATATGGCGCCCATGAGGCACGTTTCAAGTGTCATATATCTTCAGGTACACAGAATCAATTCGCTCGGCAGATGCACTGTGCGTCTGGCAAGCGGTGCGCATTGCATAGTGGCTGCACACAGGTGTTGTTGTTACAAGGAAACAGAGTATGGAAGCTTTCTTAAGGTTGTGGTCGCAATTGGGACCTAAGATTTCTCCGCCAAACATATCCACTGTACACACCATGCACGTGTGGAATGAGGCGCACTCGTCCGTCGAATCAGCTCTGCCTGGGTCTGTCTGTGCTCTTACTCTTCCTCGTTTCTGGTGCGTCGAACCATCTTCGTCTGGCTCGGTATTCTCTCTTGCCCTTTTCTTGTGCGATGTTGCGAATCCCCGCCGCCGGTTGTATTCCTCCCTCAACGTTGCCAATTTTCTGACGAACGAACAAACCCGGAATAAAACCGTAAGCAAAACGAGGGACCCAATCTCTGCTCACTTTGGCCAGCTTCCGTGTCCAGCAGGGTGCGGCGACGTCGGAGGCCGGCGCCCCTGACGTCATCACGTGAACAGTGGGCCTGCCAACGCTGCGACCTCCCCCCTCCCCCCTTCCACAACAGCGACAAATCCCGCCAGCGCTGGCGACGAGCCCCATGACCTCTTGCAACGTCGCAACGGGGTTGCGACGACCCAATGCGACGTCGGCAGAGGTTGGACATCTTCCAGAATGAGGAATCTGATGGGAGACGGGGACGCGGGGGATGGGATGCGTGGTTTGAAGCGTTTTGAGCAAAGAACCATATGCGTTGCACTGCGGGAGAGAAGGCAATGCTTGATGTCCCAGCTTGAATTATTTCAAATTGAGTGCACTTCAATGCAATTCAATCACGGGGCTGATTCAATTGAGCTGTGTGCGCATACATCAGTGAAAAAGTAAGCCGTCAACAGGAAAAAAATTAGGAAAATCGCATGAAAATTTGAGGTCAACATGACAAACCATGCTAACAGTATTGCTCTGTTGAGAGTTGGGGGAAAGGGGAATGGGAGCTAAACGCATACGTCACCCTAAACTTTCAGGGTACGTTGGCCGCCCAAAGCCGCTGCAGCAGTCAGCAATGTTCCTGCCGAGCGACGGTGCACCCAAATGGCCGACACAGACCCATCACGTCGTCACGTGACCGTGACGCACCCCTCAAGCGTCACGAGCGCGCACATATTCGCGCACCTGCCATCCTCGAGGCTCACTTTATCCCATCCCAATGCACTGGCCCCAGGGCGCCCCATGTCCCGCAAAGCCGCCATGGCGAACGCCGACGGGTTGGCAAGGTCAACGCCTGCGCAACGCCGCAGAGCAAACGGGTCAGTTCACTGACCCACGGGCGCCGCCGGCCTGGTATTGGATGCGAATGAACGAGATCCAATTGATGGCATCCTTGCCACCGCTCCCGGTCGTGGCGACGTGGACGCGGGCCTGCGTGACGGATCCGGGGCGTGGATGAATCGATGCCACTCGCGTGGACGGCCAGGAAGTGTGGTAACTGACAACGGGGCCACGTCAGAAATCCCCCAAACGGATGTCCCCGCAGAAATCCATTGAAGGGATTGCAGGGGTCGGGCGATGGCAGCTCTCCTGGGGTTCGACCCACAAATCCTGATCCTGGTACCAATTCGCCGATTCGACAAGCAGAGGCTCGCGCTCAACTCCTGAATCCCCGGCCTTCGGCTAGCACCCGCAAAAATTCGCCATCTCGGAAACGCATCCCTCGAAACCGCCCAGACGCTCGCCAGCGCCCCAATGCCGTTGGCGTCGACGACGTGGATCCAACCAAGCGCGGGACCGGCCACCCACCGCGGAAGCGGATCCACCCGTCCTCCAGCAGCGTCCCTGCGCGCCGATCGCCGTTGCTGGGCATCCTCACGAACAGCCTCTGGCCGGCGTGCATCATCCCTGATCTCATCAGGGTTTGTATGCAGCATTGCCGCCTCTCATCCTCCGTCCACATCCGTCTCCGCGCCAGGCGGGGTCGCCTGGGGCGCCAGCCCATGGAGTCTCTTCCTTGCAGCTTGGCCGCCGCAGAGGTCAAGGGAGTGGTGACCCGAGCGAGGGTTTGTCCACGGCGTCGTGGTCGTGGTGTGGCGCGGAGGGGCGCCATGGGCTTGTTGAGGCGCCGATGCCGCCTGGGCCCCGATTTGACGTGGCTGCCTGGCTGGATCTGGGGCTTGTTGTTGCCGCAACAGTGGCAATGTGCCATTGTACTGCGTCGTGTGTCAAAGCACCCTGCTGCTCTGGCCGTGAACCCTGTCTCACTTGCGATGGCCCGGTGTCCCAAATGTCGGTGTCCAAGTCAGATCAGCGGCTAATTTGCGCAACGAATTTGGACGATGAAATCTCGGGGGGGCCTTGGCCACCCGTTTATAGACTTCCTTCTTTGCGTTAACTCGGGTAAGGAAGGCACACTCGGGGCGCCTGACCATCTACTCTAAAACTGCAGAAAACATACGCAGACTCTGCACTTTTAACACCTTCGAGTGCCGTCACACCAGTTTGCCACTTGTCTCTCCTTACATTAAAATTCAAGCCAATAACCTGGGATGAGGTGGGCGGGAGCGAAAAACGAGATAGCCACACAATCGTTTCGCCAACCTTTAGTCCCAAGTTCCCCGTTTGCACGGATCGTCTCGAAACTACGTTCCCAGCCGTGCAAAACTGTGCTCAGTTCGCTTTTCTGGACTTTATCACCAACCGCGCCCTGAAACAAGGGTCGCTGCCCATAAGCTAGCCACAACTTTAAGAGTTGTGCCAAACACTTTCTCACTGAGCCAGTCATACCCAGTCTGCATAGCGGCAGCGCCATTCACACCGAATCCAAGTGTGCCCACAACGGACACTCCCGTTGGCCGTCCAAAGTTCCCTCCCAACGGCCCTAATCCCGATTTAAACACATTCACTCCATTACATTCCGTCAATTCCGCGAAAAATTCCGCAACCTGCCACCGAACTGGAAGGGCAGAAAATGCTGCGGGGTCGTTTCGTGGTGATGGGGATTGCTGGCGCGATACGGTGTGAGCCTTGGCCGCTTCACTGTAGCCCCACCCACCTCTGGGCGAGGGGCTACGCCATTGCAGCGTGTGGGAAAAGGAACCATAGTGCTCATGGAGATGACGCACGTGTACCAGCCATTTGCTGCCACCCAGGAATCGTGCCTGGATCGTCAACACGCCTCACCCGCTGAAAACCGAGTGTTTTTGGTGTGCAGCATTTGGTCGCAAGCGACAAGAGCACATGATCGTGCACGGACGCCCTAAGAATCTTTGTTATAGTGCAAATGTCCTAGCCTGCGCTTGGCTTTGTTCACTGGCCGTTGATGCACCTGGCGCCGGTGCTCAATGGGCTGTGAATTCTAATATTGCAACAGGCCCGATGTCTATGATCGTGTGTCTAGAAAAGCATCCGGCAGTGCCACACCCCCCAGAGCATCCCCTTGCCATTGTATTGTCCCGCCACAACTTCATATTGGATACTTGCAGCTGGCCGTGTTGAAGGGCATATCATGTGATTGCCATCATTGGCTTTAAATCACTGCCCTGGTATTCCCAGGTATAAATTTTATACCCTTTTTGCTATACTTGGCTGTCACCACTAGGTTCACTAGATCACCTTATAATTTGGACTATAACAATTTTTGCCTCCGTAGTCAATCATTCTACTTCCAAATCTTCACCCAATGCCCACTAACCAAGCATATGCAAGAAAGCATCAACCTTGCCTTCGATACGCTTCAAATGGGTGGTGTTTTCCTCCACCAGCACTATCCGGGTGAGGTCACGGGGCTGCTATGTCACTGCCTCCCGATGCTGCGATCCCGCTTCCCCAATCAATGCCCATTTGGCACCCAGAGCATGGCCCTCCCCTTCGCCTTCTTGGGCAATAGATGTGCGCCTTGGTAACCTCCCTCCATTTACATTCTCAAGCAAAACTGCACGAGTCATAGAGAAGAGGGGTGGAGCTACACTGGGTGCCTCCTAGGGCCCTCATCAGATAGGCACACAGGGGATGCATCCAGGCATGTGCATCTGGAATATCACCCATGTGACACTAAGTGTCAGCAAGCAAGTCTTGCTTGCTGCAATGTGAAATTCCTTGTCAATTCACTTTACGTGAATATCTTCTTTCATGGCAACATGCTATACGTTATACTTCCATCCCCTTTGTCCATATATCTGGTCGACAGTTTTTTAAAGGCCTTTGTCACCCAAAGTGATGTTGGAGTAATATCTAGCATTTTGTGAAGGTCATTTTCACAAGTCCTTGTGTATCCTTTTCCCCTTGACATGTTTGTCCTGACAAAGTTTAACAACTGTCATTTGCTTGCTCTTTTGCCCATGGCAGTAATGTGATAAAGGTGGGGGCAGGCCTTGATTGGATTTGATACGGCCATGGTGTTTCTGCCTCATGTCACTCTGCAAAGCTTTGCCGGCCCGCCAGGGCAGCAGAAGCGTGGAGCACATCGTTCCCCTTCATTTTTCTAAATAACCACCCTTTTCAGCAATCCGCTTTGGGGTTTGGGATACACACCAGTGCTAAAACACTGAGGAGCATTCGGGTGCCGCGAAACTGCTCACAGCAGATTCCAAAATCAACTTCTGTACATGCTGGAGCTCAACGCAAACGAACCACAGACACAGATGGGCCCACTGGCACAGGCGCCCTCAAAACTGTCGCGTTCCGTCATGCCGTCACAAACTGAGTTGGACCCCCCCCCCTTGCAACATAAAGGCGCGGCTTCTTCAAGCACATCAGAACTTTGAGGCCAGCCTCCCGGTGCGTCCCCCCAACCGACGTTCGTCGTCGCTATGCCAAAATAGTCCCCGGTTCCTGTCGCTCTTCTGTCGTTCTGATGAGGCGCGGCGCCGGAAGCTCAAGTGGAGACTTCGCCCGTCACGAGGTCGGCGGTGAACGCCACGCGGTTGGACGCGTGGTATATGAGGCCATCCTCGCCGTCGGCGCCGTGTGCAGCGTTCGCCCTGAGCGGGCCCGCAGTGGGGTCGATGGGGAACATGCCAGCGTCCAGGGCGCGGGTATACTCGATGGCGGTGACCCCGTCCACCTCGCTCCCGCTGACGCCGGTGAGCTCGACGGTGTCATCCTCATCGTCGGCGGAGATGGCCTTCCTCTGCAGCCCCAGAAAACGGACGGCGGTGAGTGGTTCCCGGCTGCGAATGCGCCCTTCCTTTTCGAGCACACGGATGCGCCCGGTGTCCGGCTTTCAGCTGCGACGCAGCATTTGCCCGAATGGGAGATCCCAGGCGGTGAGTTGTGTGGGCGCGCTTAAATACGGCGTCGCACTCGACGGGGGGAGGCTCTGAAGGCGCAAGCCACAGCAACCGACTCCTGTTCCGACAGGTCTGCGAACCTGGCGCGAAGGGGCGCTTGGCCGCATCTGCACGCCAACCACCCGCACACACTGCCAGAGAAGAGCCTGCCGTTTCGGGGATCGGCTCTACTTGCCGACACTTTTCATTCGCATTCTGGCCGAGTCCCAAACCGCCCCCAACAATCAAACGAAACTAACGTTAAGACATGCGGACACGCTGCAACGCGCCGTTGGTCAAGAAAACGCGCGCAACGCACAATGCGCCCCACCCCGACCATCCGATCCACCACGACCACCACAGCAACGAAATGCACGGAATAGAGGGGGTGCTCGGGCTGCCCCGAGCAGGACACAACATGCAGTCTCGCCTCACGATGGCGCCCACTCGTTCGGAATCCGTCCGTCGATGCGACGGTCCAGCGCCACGCAATCATCCCCCGCCCCACGTACCAAGACTTTGTAGGCCTTCACGACCGCCGTCCCTTCATCGTCCACGTATCCCAGGACCACGTCCGCAGGGTTCATCTGGAGCGCCTCGTCGGCGAAGGCGAACGACAGCCACCCGGTGGTCGTGCCATTGAGCAGCACCGAGATCTCGCCCTCACCGGGGGTGGGGCCCTCCGCCTCCTCATCGGCCACCGGCCCCAGCAACCAGTGCACAGTCATGGCGTCCAGTCCCGGAGGCTGCAGAGGGTACAAGCGTCAGTCGAATCTGCTAGCGTCAATTCCGCTGATTCACGCTCGGGTGTTGGATTTGCTTGTCGTGTTGCGAGGAGCGTGCACTCAAATGGAATGCCAAATGTGGGTGAGGCATTGAGAAACATCGCATCTGCACTTAGCATGCGACCAAGAACGCCGCGGCAGCCAACTGGTGCTTGTTCGTTCCGAGTGGAGCACTGGGCCTCAAGGAAATGATGACTGGGCGGCGCCTCAACACTCATGTCTGCTCATTCTTTGGGAGCAATAGGCCGAGCAACTGGCAAGGCAGTGACTCGTATGACTGGCTTGCTCACAATTGTGCTTCCAAATGGGACTGGGGACATACAACCTGGTGGCGACGCTTCTGCCTTATGAACAGCGCTTGGCATCATCAGGTAAGTCAAAGAGACTCTGACAAAACCATTGCTGGCGTGGCAGTGCTTCTACAGTATGGGCATGTTGTACATTTAGAGCGAAAGCAGCAACTCTAAGGTCAGTGCAGACTAATCCACATAACATAGAGAATAGAGCATAGAGTATGGTCCAAGCTTTGACATGATCAGCAAGTTTCTTGACATATTTGTGTTAGGAACTCCACTCGAATCCCATGGTGCTGACTTCTGCCACACTCTCGTATTGTGGTCTGCTGCTGCATGGCAGGTGTGTGAACACCAAGCGATGGCATCTCTGTTGCCCAAGCCTTCAAATGGGTTGAGCACTGCACTGCTGTCCGAGGATGATAGCACGCAACTCACCGTCATCATGCAGGCGTATCCAGATCGGTCAGACGGCGTAAGGCAAGCGCTGTCGCCAGCAGGTGCAGCCACAGGCCCATCACCGCCCTGCATGAGCTCGCGCTGCAGAAAATCCACACCAGGGAACACGTTAAGGGATGACAACAGGAGCTGGGAGACTGCAGTCACACAGAGCAAAAGGTGAAGCTCAGTGGGTGGGTGGTGTGCGGCAGCAACGTCAAGAGCCCATTTCGGTCAGTGTTGGCAGCGCGGTACTTTGCGCCGTACTGCACTCGCTGTCTGCACTCCGCGACTATACAAAGCATACCAATTATACGCAATTCTAGTTAAAGCACTGACACTCCAGCACCGTGGTAGAGGTGCGGGTTACGTTGTGGAAGAGAGGCTCCTCCCTCAGATCGCGTGGAGTGAGAACAGTAAGCATTTCACCAATGGCAATGTGGCAAGATTGATGACGCGCATCCGTTCGCCCACCACTCGCGACTGGAAAGCACCGCCCTGCCCGTCGAATGTCGTCTTCCATTAACTACAGCGACGCGCCCCTTTCCACAAAATTGGCTGAGGTCAATCATCCTCCGCGACGCAGACCGACCGATGCACAGCAAGGCAGACGTGAGCCCACCGAGCTAAACACTAAACGCACGGCGACTGTCGCCCATTCCCACTGCCTCCCCTTTCCCCGATGTACTGATTCTTTGATCGATAGGCCGACGCCAGTCCGCCAGGTGGGCATGGCGTGCACTTCACGCGGGAAAAGCGCAAGTATGACGTAATCACGGCGCCAGCCGCGCAAGCATCGGGTGAAGGTAGCAGCGGGCTGCCGCCATGACGCCATGGCCGCTGGACAGACGGCCGGCGCCCGCCCGGCCACCCTCCTCGGACGGGCGGCGAGGGGCGCAACTCCCAGGGGTCCCCTCCTGGACACCAGCCACAGTGCCGGCAGCGCCCACAACATTCCGCGCCATGCGATGGCGCCACAACCGCCACATCGGAGCCCCCCGGGATCTCAGCCCCTCCTGAACGTGTTGCGCCCTGCCCCGGCATTGCCACGTGCCAGCGTGGCCAGCGGCGGCCGCGGCTGCCAGGCGCAGGGGGAAGGATGTAATCCAGCCTCCCAGCCCGCCAATCGGACGTTCCCATTCAAGGCCAAGATATCTCCGGGACCACAAGGCAACTCAGAAGTCCCATTGTCCCCCACAGCACGGACAATCTGGAAGATCTCCCGGAATCTACAGCTCCCGCCCGGCGAAGGTGACCGCGACGCGCGTGGCCTCCACGCGATCGGCATCGGACCGCAGCCAGGCGCGGTAGGTATTTCCTCACCCGAGCGGAGCCCAGCACGCTCGCGGGAGCGCCGCAGGCCACCAGCAGGGCCACCATCAGGTAGGTGGCCGATGCCTTCATGGCTGCAGTGGAAGACGGCCCCAGGACGGCAAGCAGGGTGGCAGGGGGTGTGGGCGGCGGAGGGAGGCGCGTGCGGCGACAATTGGCAAGGGCGGGTGGCACAAATACTCGGGCGGGTGGGTCTTGGGTGGCGCCGGCAAGCCGGATGGGATGTTCACACATCGGCGCAGTGATGGGACCACACGGCCGCCGACCACCGCAAAGGCGACACCACGTCATGCCGGGATCTTGGGGGGGAAGAGGGGGTGGTAGTTAAGGGTGCCTGGTGCGCGTCCGAGCTGGCCCGCGCAACAAGAGGGGGGTTGACTAGGGGAAGTTAATGTGCCGTTCGGTCTCCTCTCGCCTTTGGTCTTGTCTCTTCTCCTGCCCTCGGTTCAGGACAGCCCGATCTTGGCTGTTACAGGAGGAGCGCACGCCACCTCGGCTCGACGGCATCTGGCCGCGCACGCGTCGTCAAGTTGCATCGTGCTATCCGATGCGCACAGCCGCCGCCAACAACCGTGATTCAGAATATATGTACTTAGACAGAAGTACATCCATTGACTTATAACATGTACTTCCTCCAACCCAGATTAATTGTCGTCTATGATTTTGGGGCATTATTTCTACATCATTACCACACCTGTTTTCAATGAAATTTCGTCTCCGGTTGTGTTTTTGAGTTGGGAGTACACCATAAAAATTTCAAGTCAATCCATTGAGTATTGAGGATTTGGCAGTACTTTGTATCAAGGCTCTTTTTATATAGCAAATCTCAATATTTGGAGTCAAATATGACCGAAATTTACCTTCGCCTTGCGCTCAAAAGAGTCGTGTCTCACTTTTTCTTCTTGAAAATTGATAGTCAAAGGTTTTGAGATGCAATCTTTTCGATTTTGTTCTTGTTTTGAAATTCTGAGGCTGTCCTCATAATAAATTTAGCCTTTCAAATAGACGACAATTAATCTGGGACGGCGGAAGTATTGCCTAAGAGACGCCACTAGCTCACAGGCCTAACAAGAGACTACAGTTTCGGGAAACAACGGCTCCGACGTGACATGTTATGTGAAGTCTACCACAATTTATATCAAACAAAATTATCGCCTATGCAAAAGATGTAACAGAATTAATGCACAATGCGTTGTCAACAGCATCCGCAGCAGCGGATCTGAAGCAGATCCAGCGCCCCATAAATGCTCGCAAACCAGAAGTGACTCCATCAAGGCATAAAATTACTGACTGCACCAAATCGGTGACTTTTTGCACCAAGTCACGTGCACATCATGTCCAACTCCGTCCAAACTAACCTAACCTAAAACCCAAACCTAAAACCTAAACCTGAACCTGTCCTAACCCTAACCCTAAAACTCACCCTGAAACTGAACCTAACCCTAAAATTGAGGTTAGGACAAAGTGTCGCGTGACTTGGTGCAAGCAGTCACCGATTTGGTGCAGGCAGTAATATTATTTCCTCCTCCGGGCAGAGACGAAGCGGTGCCCATCCATCTTGGAAGGCGATGACGGGCGTGCAGATATCCAAGAACCCACAGCAAGAACGACAGGAAAAAGCGGCGACGTGAGCTTCGCGAGGGGCGAAAACGGCGGTACCAGGCTCAACAGTCAGGCGGGCAGCCCACCGTGAGAGAATCGACCGGGGCGACTCATCGGCGCCACGGTGTGTGCCTCCCAGCGCCTTTGCGACCGTCTCCAAAAGCGGCCCGCCTGCAGGGCTAGGATCAGCACGACGGTGGTGTTCGTGTTCGCGGTTGGAGTAAGATCCCGGGTGGCAGGCGTGAGTCTCTGTGGCGGAGGAACTCCTTGACAGTCTGAACACATCCAAAAGAAAAGAGCAATAACGACCGGATGTCCAGCTCGGATTCGAAGGGAGTAAGCCAGCAACGGCACCGTTCACTTGGGCATCACAGCGCGATCCCCCCTTCGATCCACCGCACGATCATTCCTCCCGACTCCTGCGCCTCTGGAGCCGCCCAGAGCCATCTTCCCCCAAACTGGATGACATCGAGCCCACCTCCAAGCTGAGCTGAACACCTCAGGATGTATCAGGATATGTGCAACTCGCCTGATGTCCCATGGATGCTATCCTCGGCCGCCTTTCGCGCGGGCGGCCTCCTCTGACGCTGCCCATGCCCGCGGGCGCCCGGGCGCGGGGCGGTCCCCTATGTCTGCGTTGAAATTGCCTGCACACCTTTCCACGATGGGGACGCCAGATGTTCGCCGGGGGTCGGCGGCCAGTGTGAGGGCTGGATCGGCTATAGGAGAAGGGGAACAGCCGCCGCAGCAGTTCCGGGAGGCGCGTAGGCGAGCCTTTGTGCGCGGTTGGGCGGGCGTTGGCTCTTGCGGGCGAACGTGCTCCGGAGCGTGGTGGCCACGGGGCGGGGCGTGCGCCTGTTGCACGCCCGGTGGGTCAGACACGTGGCTGTCGTCCTGGTCACAGTCGGTGACTCACAGGGTGTCTCGTTTCACAAAAAGTGCCTGTGTTTTGGCCTCTCCTGAATTATGTCGTGGGTTTGATGTTGGAAACGTGGCCTCTTAGAGCATCTTTATCGGTGGGTGCTATTGCCCCGGCGGAGCTATTCGGCTATCCGAATAGCACCGCACGTCAAAAAACCATCATTAACGGTTGGGAAGCAATAGCACCCCAATAGCACCCCCGGAGCTATTCGGCGCCAAGCGGCGCTATTTTGGCCGCGAATAGCACCGCACGGCACTAATAGCACCCACCGATAAAGATGCTCTAAGAATTCATGGTAGTTATGCACCTAAAAAACAAACAATACCACCAGAAGACTACATTTTCAGCACAGACTTTAGGTTTGACCTATTTTGGGATATTGTTTGCACTTGACCTGATAAGACACACAGCGCCAGAATGAAGAAGCATAAGCCCGGCATCCAATGGACTTGCAAGGCAATACAGTCGCATCCAATGCAAGGGGTGATGCAGTGACCATTGGGAAACGGGGTATGCTGAGTTCCTATGCACATTTATATGCATCATTTGGAGTGGTGCATTGTTTCAATGCAAGGGAGCACACTTTATCGATTGTGTACATTAACGCCAAATTGACATTATAACCAGCGCAAACGCCCCCTCCATACGCCCGAGCGTCAACTAGGCTGCGGGCCGCTATATACCTTCCTTTCCGTTTTGTAGCTGGAATCCTTTTCCTTATGGCAGCACCACTCAACATTGCTGCCAAAAGGCATGAGTCAACATATGAAGATACCCTATTGAAGAACAAGCCAAACAACACGGTTTTGGAAATTGTGTACAATGTAAGACGATTGAAAAGTCGCGCTAAATCGTGTATTTGTTGTGTAAAAATGGGACCAAACCGTGTAGTAGCGATTGCGTGAGCGTACACGATTTTACACCCTTTATCAAGGCTTTACACGGTTTTTAGTTTGAAACTGTTTATTTTGGCCGTTTGCTTATCTGCAATAGCAGTACTAGCACCAACACAATGAGGGAAGATGAATGTTCCTTTAGGGTATAAACATTGCCCACGTCACTCCAGCGCGGTCAATTTTAAAATTGTCTAAGGCGATGGCGAGCCATGGGGACGGCCTCAGATACTACCAAAAGGGATATTTGGGGGCCTCCTCAGGATTGGGGCACTTGATGGAGGCTTTCAAACAAGTCAG